TCACTATGAAATCCCCACAGACGGCGCCAAATTGTTTGACTCAAAAGTAGTTTAATACTTTTTAAACAAATCAATCAATGTAGATGAAGGGGTAAATCGTAGTGAACATTAATTAATACTGGATCGAAGAACATAATAGTATACATAAAAGAATCGATTAAAACAACACCTGGAAAGCTTTTATTGATTACAGAAACTCAGCCTGCCTCCCTCGGAGAGGTTCATGAAATTACAATCGAAATTCCTGTTTCTTCCCGGAGATAGAATCCAGGAGTATCTTTCTTCTCTTCTCCGGTCTGGAGTCCCCCCCCCCCCCCTTAAGGGATTCTTTTTCCTTCTATTTATAGCCCAAAATTCCTCATGCTGGTAACATGTTGTTTGGGCCGGGTCGGGGAAATGACCTCCCCTCGTGGGGGGCCTCGACCTCGACACTTCTGTCATAAGTAGCAGCCGTTAGGCGTCCTCGAATTTGCTGACTGCTACTGCAGGATGGGACGGGACGGGGTCCTTGGTGCTGTGGTCGTGTGGTCGGATTTTGACCAGTACAAACATGCCATTAAAGGTAAATTAAAATTTAAAAATCAAAGAATTTTTAAAAAATAGAAATATATGCTAATTTATTTCATATTGATAAAAAAGGAAGTGTTATGCAAGTTGTTATAAAAGAGATAGTAGCTGCTAATCAATATTATTTTGCAAGTTATTAATTCTCACCTTTTATGAACGAATACCTGCAGTTACTTTTTTGATAACCTGGTATTATTTCGGTGACTACATCATATGGACACAGTGAGAGTTTAGTTAGTAGCTTATCTGATTTCTTTCTTATAGAAATAGTGAAGTTACTAGCTTGTGAGTTCTGTCTTGTTCTTACTGTTTAACTTGCAACAAAATACATAGATATGTTACATTGTTATGAAATAATAAAAGAAGAAGAGTAGTATTGCAGAGAAAAGTAGGGAGAGAATTCTTATTGATTTTGAGATGAATTACAATAGAATAAGACCCCTCTATTTATAGGGAAAGAGTGACTTAGCCACCAAGTAAAATCCCTACAATTTTTCTAAAATATAGACATTCACCTTAAATAAAACTCTATTTATAACACTCTCCCTTAAATGTCTATTCAACAAATAATGTGTCTCGTTAAAACCTTAACTAAAATAAAACCAGTGGAAAAAAAATTCTAGAGAAGAAAAAAGAGTACACATATCTAACAATACACCTTTTGGTTGCCTCGTTAAAAACCTTGCAAGGAAAACCCAGTGGGACAAAACCTTGTAAGGAAAAAAGAGTACAATGCGTATTAATTCCCCCTGATGAGAGCATCAATTCACATCCTTGAGCCTTCGCATTCCAATCTTGTGCACCATCTTCAAGAGATCGTTGGTGGAGATTTGATAAACAAATCAGCCATATTAACTTGAATAAATATATTGCACCTTGAAATCATCATTCTTGATAGAGGTGTAATGTCTTCATAAACTGCCGTGGAATGGCCTTTTCAATATCTCCATAGAGGTAAAAAATTCTCGCTATCAATTATCATGCTTATAGTTATAGCAAGATACATATGTGCACAAATTGCACTGAGGATGTGGTACTTCAAGATCAAGAATTGTATATGCTTCAAGCAATTTAAATCCTTCAGGGATTATCATATAAGTATAGTCATATAAGCCATTTAAATAGACTTTAGATGCATATCAAGTTTTCATGTCATGCGACATATAAAAATAACATGAAAAGTGATTGCACACACCTATTGACTTTATACTTTCGAGTATTTGAACTATATGTCCAAAACTACATGTCTTTCATATGAAACCAAATTCCACTTGAATTGATTCTCCAAACTTATATATATATATATATATATATATATATATATATATATATATATATATATATATATATATATATATAGCGCTATTATAGATGTCGTCGACAAACATTTTATATCGGTTCCAACTTCCTTATTTTCATATATAGACATAACATAGAGATCTCTTCATTCATATATTCAGGTACCTGAATCTCTCATGAGACTTTATGAAGTGTTATGTCATGTGATCTTCTAGATCACTTGCCTCCTTTATTATGATCATTTTGATCATTTGCGTATCTTCTTTATCATCAAGAAGTTTATTTGAAACCGATTTGTCTATATGATTTAAGCGTACCATAGACTTTGTCCTTCTAGGACTTAATAGGAGCATTTGCAATGAGAGTATAGTTACTTTCTTTGGGTCAGCAAATGTGTATGGCATGCTATTGCAGATGAATTATCTTTTATGAACTTCAAGTTCATATTATCTTATTCGAGGATCTAGATGTACAAATGATAACACATTCCACGTAACTTTGTCTCAATTGTTTATCATGTCTCCCCCTCATGTTAGAAAAACTAACTTGCTTCCTCAATTTTGGAAACCCATCTTTGTGTGTTATGGTGCTAATCAAAATACACACTGCACATTAATAATAATACGATAGAATTATTTGGTTCCTGACCCTGAAGCACTTGTGAGGGTAGAATGTAATATACTTTCGTATATAATGTATATCAAACTGATATAGATAACTTTGTTCTCATAAGCAATAATTTAACTATTAAGTGGAGGCACTCAATAATCATCTTGCTAAACCAGTTGTGATGTATACCAACTTATCAAGATAAACTATCTTGAATAGAAAATCTGGAAATTATGCTCTAAATTAAATTATTGAGCAAGTTACCTCGCAAACACCGGTCAGGTTGCGGGTTACTAATATTCGCACATGTAACCATCTCATATATACATTTTATGTGGTATACATGACAGGTGAATGGGCCCGTATTCACTTTTGATATTTCCAGCATTCATGGGATTCAATCCCAATTTTAGTTGGTCTATTAATTAATGAGAACAAGCAATGTAAGAGAATTCGTAAAGAACTTTCTAGTTCTTTAATATATAACCATGTGAATTCTCTTTTATTTTTGCACATCATACTTAAATTAACATGGCTAAATCAATTATGCCAACTGGATAAATTATCAATATTGATAAAGTTCAGGTTTACACCATGACGTGTGAAATTATCAATAAACTCCAAGTTTATTATGATAACGGGTTTTATATCAATAAACATGTGGCACTCTTTTATTTGTGTAGTACAAACTGGAAAATAAAGCGGATAACTTTTCACATACATATTACCCCCCTACAAGTAGTAGTAATAGAAGATATTAAATATTTCCTTTATTTATAGTCTCAATATAACCAACTGCTTTCGTGAATAATTTAGAAATTCAATAAGCTTCTTTGAGACATACTACAACAATATCTTATTGGTAATCAATTTTAATTCTTCAAAATAGTAATAATTGGCTCTTCCAGAGCTCTCAATTAATTTGGTACTACCACATATCATCAACATCCATATGGTGAATATCTCTTTTAAAGAGAAAGTTATACCATTATGGTCATGGTCAGAATACTATACAAGATTTGTTCCTTGCATTATTGTGCCCTTTAATACACATCGCCAAAATATTTTGGCGTACAATAGGTATGTGACCAATGATCATTCATGCCATAATAATGACATTATTTTTTTATTATTTCCCTCAAACCTCATTCTAGAGGTGAGTGTGGTATATTCAATACCACTAGTACGTTCATATTCTTCCAAGAATGAATATGTATTCATAAATAACATGTTATCACATTCACATCATGAATGGACCATAATCATCTATATGTGCTTTACAGAATCTCATGTCAAATTCGATGACAAATATTACTTTCACAAAGTGAAGGATTATTTTGAAAATCCTTATTTTTCTCATTACCACAATGATGACGATTATAATTTCGTCTATTGCCACGTCCACATCCATTGATACATTCATAGTAATAATTTTGTCTTCTTTCAGACTAATCACATACTGCAAACACATTCTCTTAAGGGAAGGAGAATGAAGCAAATTCAATGGGACGGGCTTCCAATTCTTTGCCCACAATCATACATGAATTTGATCATGGCAAGACATAGAAATTTTACCACTTTGGTGGTTATAATTTCTTACAAACTCTATTAGAGTTATAATCAAAATTTATTGCTTTTGCTTGTATTTAAAATCAAATTATAGAATTTCAAGAATTTAAAAGAGAAAAATAAGATAAACTACTTACCTTAAATCCAGAATTTAATCATGAAGGAAGTTCATAGAACAATTGACAATCATTACGCTTAATCCTAAAGCTTCTACTCAATTGGTTAGAGTCTCGTGCTGATAACGTGTTATAAAATAATAAAAGAAGAAAGAAGAGTATTGCATAGAAAAGTAGGGAGAGAGAATTCTTATTGATTTTGAGATGAATTACAATGGAATAGGACTCCTCTATTTATAGGGTAAAATCCCTACAATTTCTCTAAAATGTAAACATTCACCTTAAATTAAACATTCACCTTAATCCTAAAGCTTCTACTCAATTGGTTAGAGTCTCGTGCTGATAACGTGTTATGAAATAATAAAAGAAGAAAGAAGAGTATTGCATAGAAAAGTAGGGAGAGAGAATTCTTATTGATTTTGAGATAAATTACAATGGAATACGACTCCTCTATTTATAGGGTAAAATCCCTACAATTTCTCTAAAATGTAAACATTCACCTTAAATAAAACTCTATTTATAACATAGATAATGCCTTTTTCTTTTCTACATTTTTTTCACTTTTCAAGTTTGATGGCTTTGATACTTCAATCAAAACTTCTAAATACCTTTTGTCAACTTAGACTACAAATATGCTTCTTTTCAACTTCAACCAAATATTGCAATGAATCGCCTACTTCGATTTGAAAGCAGCAATAAACACAATGTAATCCCACAAGTAAGGTCTAGAGAGGGCAATATGTACGCAGACCTTACCCAGTTCCCGGTAGACCCTCGGCTAGGGCAACAACAAGCACACCAATCAAAAAACCGAAACAAAAATACAAAACTAACACTACGTACTACAACCAGTAAGCCGAAACCAAGCCTACTTCGATTAGGAAGAAAGGAGAATAAATAAGTGTATCAGTAAAATGTTCAAAAATTAACATCAGATAGTGCCAATGACACACTGATATCCAAATCTTGAAAGCTCTCAAGAGAGCTGAACTCATAATTGAAGCAAGCAGAAAGACTAAGTACAAAGAGAAAAAAGATAGAATATGAATTACAGTTAAGTGAGTTCTCTTCTGACCACAATCTTTATCACTGATTACTTCGCTTCCTTCTGGGAAATCACCACCATTTTTGTAGATGCGGGAAGCACCTCAAGTCGCGATAAAAGGGTTGAACACATCGACATCATGTACCTCATATTCAGGAAAGAAAACAGTATGTTTCAAATCTCTATTGTAGTTATTCTCTTGCAGCTTGTTTAGCTCCAACGGCGAAGAATTCTGTTATGACTTCAAGGGGCATGCCTTTTGTTTCAGGAACCTTCAAGTAAACAAAAACCCAAGCCAAGGCACACACAACAGCGTAAATGCCAAAGACGCCTCCAAGTCCAATGGAGGTAAGCATAACGGGGAGCGAGTAGGTGACAATGATGTCTCCGAACCAAAATGTAAGAGCGCATATAGCAATGCAGATTCCACGAACGCTAGTGGGGAATATCTCGGAGCAGAGGATATTTGGGATTGGACCAAACCCCATGACAAAGGTGCAGAAGTAGACCACAACACTAATGGTGGAGATCACAGCATGCATGACGGCACCCAGGCTAATAACATTGCCAATGACAAGTACGATAAGTGACGATAACAAGACGGGCAAAGTTGCCAACAAAAGCCACCTGGAAGAAAACAAACAGTTATACTTCTCTTACGCGGAAAGCTAAAGGGTTGAAAATGCATGCTTTAAAAAGATTTGGAATTTTCCACATATGCAGTTCTCTCAACTTCAACATGGTCAAAGTGCAAAGTAATAACAGTACAAAGTTGTGATGAATAAGTGTTGGAAAATATAGATTTTGGGCCTAGTACACCTATAAGGGGCGCTAGCTAATTAGTTGGCCATTAGTTAGTCTAACTCTCACCCTAAGGCTGTCTATATAAACACCACTATATGTGTACGAAGACACACTCTAAATTATTTAGAGAACGGCTAGGTGTAGGTTTCTCTCCATCCAATAGAGGGAAAATTAGGCTGTTGGATTAGGGGATTCATCCGCTACGTGAGGATTCCCGACGACTAGTAATCTGAGTCGAGATTGCTATAGACAATCCGCTTCCGCCAAGGAGAACTATCGTAAGTCTGCAAACTAGTGTTTACTCATTTTATTACAATAAGTTTAACCATAGTTAGGCCTCAAACTAAAGAAACAAGTCATTTTAGTAACAAAAACTAGTTTATTGAGAAGGCAACTATGGTGCATGAATTATGATGAGTAAATTATACATCAAGGATTAAGATGTTATCATTTCTAGAGTTACATAAAATTTAGCATTAATAGAATCAGGGATACCTTCTGCCGGCAAAGTCCATTAGTCTCATCGCAACAACAATGCTGGGAAGCATTAACAAAGTTGTGACAGCACTTATGAGGAGAGACGCAGAATCAGAACTGATGCCCATATTCGATAGCAAAATTCCTACTCCTGCTTGTTCAAGAATTTGAGGAGTGTAATAGAGAACCCCGTTGATTCCGGAAAACTGTACAAGGACCAAAGCAAATCACTAGCTTAATCAAAAGTAAATGGTTTGGTTCAAATGCTTATTTTCTAGACATGATGCCACTTTAAACTTCATATACTTCACTGGTTTGAGCATAACATAAGATTAAATAAAGCTTAACAGCAGGCCATTGCATAACAGAGCTCATTGCATAACAGAGCTCAGTAAATGTCATCACAAAGTCATGCACAGAAGAGTCAATTGCTTTATGTACTTTATTCTTTGACTGGTGAATTGCTAGGCGAGCTGTAACCATTACCAATAAAATACGAGAGCATAAAACTATATAGTAACCTCAATCGCCATACTTATGCTACCTTTCTTCTTAGATCCAAGTTAAACTAAGGGGTTTTGATGGTTCTATCTAAGATTTCACTAAGCCAGCACCTCATTTAATTATCAAGGTCAAACGGCAAGTTCATAGAACAACTTTTACCTGCTGAAGTATTTGAATTCCAACTCCGACAATCAATGCATGCTTAACCCCTGGCTCAAAAAGTGCTTTCCAGCCTGGCCTCTTCGTAACAGCATCAGGTTGTGTCTCTACTGCTTCTTCGATAGACTGTTGACCCAAGAGACTGTCTGCTCGAAGAACAGACTGACTCACTAAAGCAGCTGCATGTATGAATTCGCCTTCAGCATGAGCATCACCTGGAAGGGAAATAATGGACCCACGCCGTGATCCAGCGCCTCCTTCTTCGTGTAAATAAATCCTTTTGAGTGCTCCTTCCTTTTTCTCATCTTTTCTGTACGCTAGCTGCCATCCACCGCCAATACCCATGCTCGCTTGCTCGCCATTTGCGTGCATGAGATTGCTACCTTGTCTCATGCTTAATGAGGTTGGAGGCCCCATATTTGTTTCGGCATTTGTACCTTGACGTGAGAGCAACGGACTTCTCAGATTATCATCTGATTCGGCCCCAGAACCATCGGACATATGATGTTCGTCGTCCTTTTGGCTTTCTTCATCCCACTGTTCATGTTTCTCTTGATTCTCTGTTATATTGAACATGCTGCCAACATTCGAAAAGAGCATGCTTCGCATGCTTCCCATCTCCGGAAGCTTCTCATGAACGCTGCCAAATAGAGTGACCAACGGATCCATAAGCATGCTTTGGTTTGCCATACTCCCGTGACGTGAAGCCAGACCAAGAGTACTTTGTCCAGTCACAGGTTTGGCTATCCATGAAAGACCTTCTTCGGCTCCATATAACTTGATTTGATCTTTCTCATCCTGGTTGTCGACAAGTTCACTGTCTGGACCAATTATATATTCTTCTATAGATACTTCACCTCCAACACCTAAACCCTCCATTAGCAAGGCCATTTCACCTGTAGATTGAGAAGATTCCGTTGGAGATTAGAATCTTGGTCGAGAATGTTAAATCCCAAGGAGGACTGATCATGAACTTCAAGAATGAAAAAGTGTAACCTGACCTAAGAGTTAAACCTTAAAGAAAAATATTATTCCCTCCATCCCAAATTATGTGGCACTCTTTCCTTTTTAGTCAGTCCCAAAAAAGAATGTCACTTTTCCTTAGTAATGTGTTGATATAATTCCATGGAAAACCAGTATGCTTGACAACAAATAAATGAGAAAAAACGAAGCAAGATTTCATTAGGCATAGAACCAACATATTATCTGAAGTTTATGAGTATATCTCCTGAAACCTAGTAAGCAACCCCAACCAAACAAAGGGCTTTGAAGCGTGTGATGAAGTCGGGACGGCATTCAATTTCTTAAATCAATCGATTTGACTTTTTTCTATACATGGGATATGCAACAGCCTACAAAGTTCCTAAACTCTTTATGTTGGTTAAATTTATATTAACTTGAGGTACCTAAGAGCAAAGAAACCAGTAGACTTAAGAAGCTGCTCCTCAAACTTCAACGAAATCAATAGCAAATTGGGGTTAAAGCTCTAAACAAACTTCTTTGTTTGTTTGGACAAGTAAAGCTTTAAAACAAACTTCTATCTTATGCACGTTGATTCTCGTAAACAAGGCATCAAATGAAACATTGCTGATTACACAAAGACAGAGAGCATCACAGATTTAGCTCAATCGTTTCTTAACACTATTCTGAGGAGAAAATATATTCTCTCGTGCGACAAAGAAATAAGTTAATTGTGCACAAGGAAAAGAACCATGAGACAAACCTGAGACATCTTCCCTGCCACGTAATCTCTGTAAAACTTGTTTAGCCTCTTTCATTCGACCTTTACTGACCAGCCACCTTGGAGATTCGGGCAAGTAAAACAACGTAAAAAAGAAATAAGCAAGAGAAGGAATCGAGAGAACCCCAAGCATTAGCCTCCAACTTGGCGACGGCGTCAATGACATTCCAAAAACCATGCAGTATGACAAAAACATTCCAACACAACCAGTGAACTGTGGAAATGTATTCAATTGCCCTCTTATTTCTGGTGGGGCAGTCTCAGATATATAGACGGGAACAAGTGTCACAGCGAGACCAATTCCAAATCCATCTAAGAGCCTTGCTAAAAGCAACACATAAACATTTGGAGACCATAACATCACTAATCCGCTGAGGAAATAAAGTACCGATGAAATTATCAGCATTGGACGTCTCCCAAGCATGTCCGATACAGGTCCAGAGAATGTTGTGATCACTGTTGCTCCAATAAGAGACATCGCAACAATTAGCCCTTCCATTGTTGGCTGTGTTTGCAAATTGAATTCCTTCTTGATGTAAAGAACAGATCCTGAAACATATTAGATACATTTACTTTCAAAATATAGTAAACTGTTAAAAGTTGAGATTTGTGAGCAAAAACTATAACTTCACTTGAAATACTCGTCGAAGAAGTTTCTTTAATATTTCACTGGTATTCAAATGCTGAAAATTTGTAGTCGCAAATACTGATGGCCGATCCATGAACAGTGCAAGACATGTTTCTCCTAGAGGAGAAAACTAAACACAGAAAAAATAAATTAAAGAACAAGAGGAGTGTAATGAGGTAAAACCTGCGATTGTCGCATTGTCCCATCCCTGCAACAAGTTGCCAATAGCTGCAGCAAGTGCAATTAGCACAGCTCCACTCATCCTTAATAAATCAAATTCTTCCTTATATTATATATAAAAAATGAATGTCCAACTCTTCCTAATTGCAGAAGCACCTGCAATCAGAACATGTAGAAGATTAGACTGACTCTTGAAAAACACATCTATGTATAGATATGCATAATTTCCAAAAGATCCGACATGATTAATTAACCAGTCAATGCAAACACAAGATCTTGTTCCTGAATCAGAACAAGAACAAATAGAAAGATCCTAACTTTAGACTTCAGTAAATCTCCTATGCAACATTTGGAGCCATAAAACAACAAAAACAATAACAACTACGCCACAGTCCCAAACAAGTGGAGGCAGGGGCAGATGCAGCTTGAAAGTACCGGCTTAATTTGAACCCATTACTTTCGACGCAGTGTACAAATTTATGTATCAAAATCCACTAAAATTGCAATAAATAGTATATATGACCCCCCATAACTTAAAAAATATAATGGTTTTAATGCTAAGAACCTTAAAGGTTGAACGCATAGAGCTTAAATTCTTAATCCGCCAATGCAAAACACAGGATCTTGTTCCTGAATCAGAACAAGAACAAATAGGAAGATCCAAACTTTAGACTTGAGTAAATCTCCTATGCTACATTTGGAACCATCAAACAACAAAAACAATAACAACTATGCCACAGTCCCAAACAAGTTGAGGTCGGGAGTGATTTTATTTTGTGTCTCACACAACTTACACTAGTTGTGTGAGGCCTCTTTTTATCTCACATATTTGTGGACCCATATCTTACACATCTGGGTCCACAAAATTCTGGGACCCACACAGTTGCGTGACAAAAAAGATACCTCATACAACTAGTGTCAGTTGTGTGTGAGGCACAAAATAAAAATTTTCCCACTTTCATAAAGATTCAAAAAATGATATACTTCAATCAGGAAAGAAACATACACAGAGTGCATAGTCTTCGAATCTTAAAAAAGACCAAACAAACGCTTAAAAAAAGTAACTTTATCAGATCTAACTACATTACTCAACTGCATATGTAATCATTCCAAAATTTCCAAAATGGTACTTTTACACTAGCAAAAAAACTGATCTAAGAACAGATTTTGGATATACAACAACAACAACAATAAACCCAGTCGTAATCCAATACGTGCGGTCTGGGGAGGATGGTGTGTAGGCACACCTTACCCTTTCCGATAGACACTCGGCTCAAGAATGAGCGAAAAGAATGACATATACAAGCAACCAAAAAAGTACCTGCTAAATTCTTCAAAGAGTCAGTTAAAGGCTCCCAAAACTGGAAAAACCTGCTAAATTCCACATGTAAAGCTTAAAATTTCAAGAAAGACACAAACTTTATATAGAGACAAGACAATTGGTCTGAAACATTCAAACCCCAATTGCCTTAAAAGAAAAACAGAACTATATGCACTTTTGAAAGGGCAAGAAAAATGGGGTTGTTAAGTAAATGTAGCAGGCAAAAAGACAGACCTGAATATGACACAAATGAAAGAGAAAGAAAGATGGGATCTTAAAACCAGTTCAAAAAAAGGGGATGATGTGTAAGATGTGATGTGACCGAGGAACGTGGTTAGCTGATATGTTAACCAAAATTATATACTCATCTCTTATTATTATTCTATGTACAATCTTTTGGGAAGATTCAGAATAATTTCTGTGTTTGGTCAGTCACTTATTGACATGATCAGTTGGGATCTGTAACTTTTTTTTTTCGTTTCGTTTCGTTTCTGAGTAATGATGATATCACTTCCCATATTTATCAAAAATCTACTTTAAATATTGATTTTGAGCCGTTTGGACAATTTTAGAAAAAGTCTTTGATGTGTTTTTATAGTTAGAGGAAAAAGATTCAAATTTATTTTCGTATTATTAATAATTGCTTAATAATCCCTTCGGGGAATGGTCCGGTTGGAGGGTGGTCATCTATACGGATGATCTGAGATCAATACCCCCTAAATGCCTTCTGTGTCGAAACTGTCACACAGGGCTTGCCTAGTATGGTTTACGTCCCTTGTATGGTTTGCAGGCTATTACACAATGGGGGTTTACCCAGTGCTCACCCGAAGGGCAGAGGCTTTAACGACTGCGGATTATCCTGGGGTTCCAAAAAAATTAAAAAACTTTAAAAATAAATAAATAAATAAATAAATAAAAATAAAATATATATATATATATATATATATATAATTGCTTAATAGTTTCCAAGAAAAAGGTCCAAATTGTTTTAAAAGGCGTTGGCGAGGAGCGATGCATTTTATTTATCGGGGGACGAGACAAAAGCTCGAGGCGCAGAACGTAAGCCCATGTGTATTTAATTTTTAATATTTTATATTTTATAAATTAAATATATAAATAAAAAAATTCAAAAAATAATAGTAGAAAATGTATATGTCTATTATAAACATGCTAACATGTGCATGAAATATACAAAATAATAATTTTTTTCTTGAAAAAGTGAAAGACGTGATGATGCATTACACCTATAACGTAAGTATGATAGAATATACTTAGAGCTATAAAAATGATATTCTAGTTCATGATAGTTCAAAGAATAAAAATGACAATAATATAAAGTTAAACAATTTTAGAAAAAGTCTTTGATGTGTTTTCATATTTAGAGGAAAAAGATTCAAATTTATTTTCGTATTATTTGAAATTGCTTAATTTTGTCATCGTTTAACTTTCGGTCCTTGACCGTTAGCAAATTATCTTATTTTACTCTTGTTATTAATAGAGTGCTAGCATAAAATGAGATGAACTTCGTGTGTCCAAATTCTTCGAAAAATAAAAGTTAAAATTTTACATCTCAACTCTTTGTTGTCGATTTAAGATTAACGAGATTTATTTTCACATTCAAAAGGTAAAGAAATTAGTATTTCCCGAACCCAAAAGATTAAAGGAGTTAAATAGAATTTACTCAAAATAATGCGACCCTACTCATACCGATTAACTACTATAACAACTTGGAACATAATCAGTGAAATTCCACAAGTAGAATATGAGAAGGGTAGAATACTAGAATGTATGCAGACCTTACTCTTATCTTGTGGAAGTAGAGAGATTGTTTTCAATAGTCTCCGCTCAAAAAAGCGATTACAAAATTAGGTTTGAAGAAAGAAAAAAGAAAATTATGTCTAAAGTGTCGACAAGAACATGCAATACGATCGTACTAGTAAAATGCCAATTAATTACTCAAAATAATTAATATTCTTTCATTAATTATATGATCTTTTTGCGGGGAAGGGGGAAGGGGTTTGGGATATTTTTACACATAAACACAATGGAAATATGAGCTTCACAATGAAAAAAAAAAAGTTTTAAACAAAACTTACAGATCTTCTAAAAGAATGTCGACGAATAAAATCTACATAAAGATCAAATCACATCAAGAAAAATAAAATAGATAGGCTAATTTATTGAGTGTTGGAAACTAAACCAAGATTAATTAGTATTCCTAAGTTGTCTAGGATTTGATATTTGGTAGTTTATTTAATTCATGTCTAGTTAGGTTTTGTTTACCAATTTTATATTGGAATAGGTTTTTGGTTTTGTAGTATTATAAATAGGGGTGATACTACTTGTTTTTTTTGTTGAGAGATTCAATAGTTTATGAGTTGTGAAAAACCCTCCTACTGTTATAAATAGAATTGTATTTATGGTGAATGTCTATATTTAGAGAGATTCTAGGGTTCATTGCTTGGTGGCTAAGTCACCCTCTCCCTATAAATAGAGGGTTATTCTATTGTAATTCATCCAATATCAATAATAATTCTCTCTCTCTACTTTTCTCTGCAATACTCTTGTTCTTCATTTATTGTTTTATAACACGTTATCAGCACGAGACTCTAACCAATTGAGTAGAAGCTTTTGGATTGAGCACAATGATTATCAATTATTCCATGAACTTCCTTCGTGATTAACTTCTGGATTTAAGGTATGTATTTTACCGTATTTTTCTCTTTTATTCTATAATTTGATTTTAATACAAGCAAAGACAATAAACTTTGATTATAACTCTAATGGAGTTAGTAAGAAATTATAATCACCCGAAGTGGTAAAATTTCTATGTCTTGCCATGATCAAAGTCATGTATGATCATGAGCACAAGAAGTGGAAACCCGTCCCATTGAATTTGCTTCATTCTCATTCCCTTAAGAGAATGTGGTAGCAATATGATATAAGTCTGAAAGAAGATAAAATTATTACCATGAAGGTATCAATGGATGTGGACGTGGCAATAGACGAAATTATAATCGTCATCATTGTGGTAATGAGAATAATAAAGATTCTCAAAATAATCCTTCACTCTGTGAAAGTAATGTTTGTCATCGATTTGACATGAGATTTTGTAAAGCACATATAAATTATTATAGTCCATTCATGTTGTGAATGTGACAACAACGTGCTAGTGGTAGTGAATATACCACACTCACCTCTAGAATGAGGTTTGAGGGGAAATAAGAATATAATGTCATTATTATGGCAAGAATGGTCATTGGTCGCATACCTATTGTACGCCAAAATATTTTGGCGATGTGATTATTAAAGGGCAACAGTAATGCAAGGAACATATCTTGTATAGAGTTCTGACCATGACCATAATGGTATAACTTTCTCTTTAAAAGAGATATTCATCATATGGATGTTGATGAATATGTGGTAGTACAAAATTAATTGAGAGCTCTAGAAGAGCCAATTATACTATTTTGGAGAAAATTGATTATCAATAAAACATTGTGTTGTAGTATGTCTCAAAGAAACTTATTGAGTTTCTAAAGTATTCACGAAAGCGGTTGGTCATACTGAGACTATAAATAAAGGAAAGATTTAATATCTTCTATTACTAAAACTTGTAGCGGGATAATATGTATGTGAAAAGCTACCCGCTTTATTCTCCAGTTTGTACTACACAAATAAAAGAATACCACACTAAAGTGGATGTTTATTGACATAAAAACCCATATCATAATAAACTTGGAGTTTATTGATAGTTGCACACGTCATGGTTGTCACGACCCAAACCCCACACTGGTCGTGATGGCGCCTCTCGTGAAGACAAGGCCAGCCAACTAACCCAACTCGTCTCTTTAAAAATAGTTAAGCATAAATGAACAGCAAAGATATGACTTAATGATATTAACTAACGAAATTACAACCCCACACAGCCTTAATCGGGGTGTCACAAGTCACGAGCATCTATAAGAATGTAATTCCACTTTACAAGTCTAGAAATACACTGAACAAGAATAATGAATAACATAGAAAGACAGTGGCGCTGCGAACGCTGGCAGTCACCTCGCTAAACCTTTACATCTCTGCCTCCACGCAGCCAATACCCACTACCGGGTGGATAAATACCTGCGACTGCACGCGAGGTGCAGGGAGTAAAGTGAGTACTCCAACTCAGTGAGTAATAAAGGTAAATAATAGTTGAGCAGTAAGAAATCACGTAAAACAAATCATCATGCTATATAGGGGCAGTGAAAAACCCTTTGAAAAAAAAAAGCAGTGAAGCTGTAAAACCTTTAGAAATATCTTAACTTAGTTTAAAACCTCTTTTGAAAATTATCTTTTCAGCGGTGACGCAAATGAATGCCAAAAACAAATAGTGCAGATAAGCACAGAATTTCCGCCCCGCGGGCACAACACTCAGTTATCAAGGAATGCCAGAGTATCAGGTCTATATTGCAAGAAGTAGCACCAAACAACAGATAATAGCAGACAAATAAGATAATGCAAACACATCAAACAGTACCGGTACCGTTGCGGCGTGCAGCCCGCTCCACATATCGCTGCGGCGTGCAGCCCGCTCCGTTTATCGTCGACGGCACTCACTGGGAGTGTGCAGACTCCGGGAGGGGCCCCTTACGGCCCAAGCACAATAATAAGCCATCTCGTGGCATCAACTAGGCTCTTGGCCTCATATCAATATCAGTATCATACCGCTGCGGCGTGCAGCCCGATCCCATGCTCAGTCCAAAATCACATAAGCCTCTCGGGCAAACCATAATATAGAAATATTCAGCCCAAACTTCAGTTAAAAATATTAATTAAGTTTCAAGTTTAAGAAAATGTGGCTGAGTTTGCAAAACAGTATTAAATACCAGGACTGAGTTCAATGATATGCAAAAATGGTAAGAAACCAGTAATAATAATCCCTGAAGGATTTAATCAATTGGCACGAAGCCCAAACATAGAAATTAGCTCAGTTAAAAATGACAATAAGTGAATTCCAGTCAAATACGCAGTATATTCATCTACCGGGATGGACCAAGTCACAATCCCCAACGTTGCTCTACCCCACGCTCGCTACCCGGCGTGCAAGTCACCTTAATATAGCACTACGATGTGCAAACACGGGATTTCAAAACCCTCAAAATATCATTTACAATCATTACTCACCTCGAACCGGCGAAATCTCTAGCCCGCGACGCCTTTGCCCCTCAAATCGGCCTCCACGCGCGTCGAATCTGACCAAAACCACAATGAATACGTCACAATATGCCAAAGGAACAATACCCAATCGAAAACAATCGAAAAATATTAAAAATCCCGAAATTGGCAAAACCCGAGTCCCGGGCCCACTCCTCGAAACTCAGAAATCCTTACACCAACGGGTTCCTTATCTCGCCACGAGTCTATACATATGAAAAACACCAAAATCGGAGTCCAATTGACCCCCTCAAAACCCAATTTTTGCTCTCTTAAGTTCAATCCCTAACC